GTCTGTGGGTAAGGGGTTGGCATGCCAACAAAGGGTCTCCGTTGTGAGAACGTCCACGTTCAACTCGGGTGGTAAAGTTACCTTTGAGGACTGATTCGTGTCTGTCGAGCAAGTAGAACTGAATCCGAGGTCAGTCATCATCATCATCAGCAGCAGCAGCATCCATCCGCTCCGGGTTGAGTTCCATCCTCTTGGCACTGGCGTTTTCGTCTCTATAAGCGGCCAAACCCATACATGTCTGAAAGGTGTATGTGTGTGTGGGCGTGTATGTGGATGTGGGGGTGGGGGTGAGATGGGGTGGGTGTGAAGAAAGGCTGGGTTTCGAAGTCTTCCTTCGTCAGTTAGTCTGTCGGCGCTGCGTTAAGAAGAAAAGTCGGTTGCGAGGATTTCGTGAATTGGCCCGCAGCAACCTGTTGTACTGTGTGAAGGCGTCGGCACATGTCGTCTGAGCCTGTGCTAAGCCCGAGTCTGTTGCGTGAGCAAGAAAGCATACTTTGCGGAGCAGCGCAGCAAAACACGCTAAGCAAAGTGTGCACTCGTTGACAGGAAGGCCAAGATGTGGTTGCGCCTTATTTGATTTACGAAAGAGTAGATTTTAGTAGAAAATGTTTGTTGCTCTGATAACCTCTGGCACGGAGGGACAGACGAAGGCTTAGCACAGCTTCCTCGGAGTCGCAAGTTGGAGAGACAAGGACACGTTCACACGATCCGACCGTCTATGCTCCTTCAGGCTCCGCTGGGACCAATTCACGAAGTGCCCGCAGCCAACCTTCTCGTTGAAATTGAGAGTCGAGTGACGCGATTTGCAAAAGGCTCCATCAAAATGCAGATGCCAAGACTCAGCGGTTAGCTAATCGAGTTGAACAAAAACATGTCGGGCAGACGAGTTTGCCTCGTCCACTTTTGGTTCTTGTCCCTCTACCTGCAGACTGTTTGTCAGGCAGCGATGCACGCTCGTCCGCTCGAGTCGCGGCGACGAGCCTGATTGCGATAGCATCGAATGTGCAGGACTGGACACACTCACTTGTCGCACACTCGTGCCCAAGCGGAAACACGTTCTGTCTGGCGTGGAGCAGGTGCCATCTGAAAGGGGCTTTGATGCTTCCATGGCTCGTGGACAGCGCGACCGTCGGCGAGTGGGTCGTCGAATTCGGCTGTCCGTGTCCCGATGGCCGGACATGACGTGCGACCGTGGCGAGAGTGTTTCACGGCTCCTGGCGCCCAGTTACTGACGAGGAGGGGGAGCAGGAGGAGAGATGGGCAAGAGGACAAGAGGGAGTACACACAACAGACAAAAGGGCATGCTTACATGTGCTCTCGACAGAGCGTTTCGCTTTTCGTCTTTCGAACACTTTCCACCGACGTAGACGAAGAGGGCCTTCGAAGAGACGATAAAGAAGACGTCTTCATCGTCCACCATCGCTTTAGGCGCCGTCGACTCGGACAGAAGAATCAATTCCATTTTGCCCGACGCGTCGGAGAGCCTAGATCAAC